ACTGGCTCCATAGTATAATTTACCAGAGCAGGAAGTTGCTAAATTTGTTTGGGTCCCTATTAACATTTGAACATCCATTTATAGATGAGTAACTGAGAGAAAATGAGAAATGGAAATGTCAACTATCAAAGGTGATGAAATCAGGAAGACACCCACAATTCATGCCAATTTTCCCCATTAGATTGTACTATTCTTTGTTATGCAATAGTCTGTCAACATTCCCTTCACTTAAAAAAAAAAAACAATTAAACTTCTGATACCCAGTGGAATCAAGTTTGTCTTCTATCAGCTGAAAAATGTGTATCCTCTTGCACTTATATACTACCCTTGGTGCATAATTATTGATGATTGCAGTGATAACTGAGAGACCCCGTAGGATCTTAAAAGTACCTGCTAACTCACTCGAGGGAGGCTAGATTATATGCAGTCCTATTTCAGTGATTCAAATGCAGCTCATGACTGTCAAAATCATTTAAAGTTGGTGGTCCATGTATCGTATATGGATAACTAGTTATTAGCATGGTGATAATATGGACTGTAAAGCTAGTTATTTGAGTTATGCTTCAAGTTGTTATTTGATCAAATTTGCTCTATTTCTATGAAACATAACTCTTGAGGTCTGAGGAGGAAGCCTCCAAGCCAGTTTCAGGAAGCCTGTAGCCTTTCTAATAGATTAAAATAAATACACACATACATCTACCAAAGTCTGCATGGCTGGGGACTGACCTCTGGCCTGGATAAACTGTCACTCTGAAAAGTTGTAATCTAAACAAACAAAATCATTCCTCAAATTATAAACTGTCCGCCTAGTTAAAGCTATGGTTTTTCCAGCAGTCATGTATGGATATGAGAGTTGGACTATAAAGAAAGCTGAGCGCCAAAAAATTGATGCTTTTGAACTGTGGTGTTGGAGAAGACTCTTGAGAGTCCCTTGGACTTCAAGGAGATCCAACCAGACCATCCTAAAGGAGATCAGTCCTGAATATTCATTGGAAGGACTGATGCTAAAGCTGAAACTCCAATACTTTGACTACCTGATGCGAAGAACTGACTCATTTGAAAAGACGCTGATGCTGGAAAAGATTGAAGGTGGGAGGAAAAGGGGATGAGAGAGGATGAGATGGTTGGATGGCATCATCGACTCAATGGATACGAGTTTGAGTAAGCTCTGGGAGTTGGTGTTGGACAGGGAGGCCTGGTGTGCTGCAGTCCATGGGGTCGCAAAGAGTTGGACGCAACTGAGTGACTGAACTGAACTGATATATAATGTTAGGTCTACCCAAGTACATCAACTTCCCAGCAAATCTCTCGCTACTTCTCTCTTTAGACACCTTTATTTTTCATTTCCCAGAGACTGATTCCCTTGTGAAAGTGCAGACAGCCTGGGAACATTAAGAAAAAAGGTATGAAGAAGACTCGTATTTAAATATATTTCAATATATTTATATGTAAATTTCAGCATAGGCTTTGTCTCATTGAAAATCTGAATATTTAAATGTCACAAATGCAAAAGCAGACTAAAAATATACATTCTGGCTTTAATTAAGCCTTGAGAAGGGAATTGCCCACAGAAGCACATTCTCACTTTTCCTAACTGTTCTCTTGTACCCAAGAAGGAGCCTGCCCTCACTGAAGGCCCAATAATTCCTCATCACACAGGAAAAAATGCAGACTTTAGTCCTGTTTAAGACTGGATAAGCCTGACTCCTTTCTTGCTCTTTGAGGCCTGCGGAGGCTTGTTGTTAACAGGAACCCCTGGTCAAAGATTGCTCCAGGTGCAATGCAGACAGGCCCCAATGCTTTGTAAAACTGCCCCCCATCTCAGTTACTGTCCCTCCCACCCTGACAACTTGTCCATCATAAGTTCAGATGTGACCTGTCACCTGCTCCTTGGCTTGTCTGATCTTAGAATCCCTTGCAACAGGAATTGCCAATGGCTGCAAATTACAAGCTGTCCTGGGGAGGATGATGCTAATCTTTTAGGGGCTTAGGAAGAGACCACCAAACCGGTTTTGGAGAGTGAGAACACTCACATCAACTGGAGGGGCTGGGACGCTCTGCGGCTGTCCTGACCACCTGACTTCTGAACAACAAACCCCCAGGTGCAGGAGAAGGGCCTTCATGAATGACCTACCTCTGTCTATGGCCAGCAGGACTGTCATTTCATGGATATCGGAGACCTTTCTGATATTTCCCTGTCTGGTTACAGTGTCATATAGCTGCTCAGCTATGTACACTTCCATCTGTGGAGAATATTTACTTAATGAGCTGCATTCCACTGGGGGCAGGAGAGTTGAGTGGTTAAACCCAGGAGGTTCAGAGCCTGACCATCTCGGTTCCATTATGATACTTCCACATCACACTGGCTGTGACTTAAGGCAAGTTAATTACGGGCTCTAAGCCTCAGTCTCCCCCTCTGCTCTCCCCAGTGATAATAACTACTTCAGATGTATATGAAGTAATGCATATAAAACATTTAATAGAGCACCCAGCACCTAGGGGGAGGTGCTTAGTAAATGCTAAATAGTATAATGGCCTCCTACTCTCCATCTCTTCCCGACTCTCCAGAAACCCCTTAGAATTAGAGTGACTTGGTTTCACAATTGATGTTTCAGCAATTCTGTCTTCCAGAATTTGAATTAATGCCCTTTGTGATTAAGATTGGCATTTCAGCAAATCATGCTGAAGTGTTAAAGTGGCTGCAAAGGGACATGTCCATTCATTCATTTATCCATCAATAACAAATATTTATTGAAAGCCTACGATGTCCCAGGGAAGGCACTGGGCATGGGCTATGTGAATACAATAGACCAAACGTTACCTGGGAGAGACCATGAAGTCTACTCAGGGAGAATCACAAATAAATAAACCAATTAAGCGAGGGCCAGATTCTAGTGGTGCTCAGGGTATGAAAAGTGCCTTGAAACGGAGGCGTTATTTAAACAGAGTGGCCAGGCAGTGAGAGCAAAGACATGAAGGGTAAGTAGGAGCCTCTGTTACAAGGAGGTGGGGTAGGAAGCTTATAGAGCGAAGGAAGAGCAGATGCTGACACCCGAAGGCTAGATGAACTGGGCTGTCTTATTAGGAGCAGAAAACAGGACGGAGTGGCTACAGCCTTGTAAATAAGACACCAGGCCCTGCATTCAAGCAGCTGCTATCTAAGGAGGCTGTTGGTGATGATAGGTTTGCCAATTTTCCATATAAAAAGGAAACTGGAGAAACTCAGAAAAACTGAGACAAGGCATTGGGGGCAATCAAGCCCAAATCCCTCCAAATACCCATTTATCAAGTTTCTCCTTAATGCCTTCATCCACTGATGGGCTCCAGAATCAAGCACAACATTTTTTTTAAATTAATTAATTTATTTTAAATTATTTTGGGCTGCACTGGGTCTTTGCTGTTGCTTGCAGACTTAGTTGCTCCACAGCATGAAGGGTTTTCCCAGACCAGGAATCAAACCTGTGTCCCATGCATTGCAAGGCAGATTCTTAACTTCTGGACCACGGGGGAAGCCAAGCTCAGCCTTTTAACTTTACACTGTGTTTATTTTTTTCTATGCCCATTTCCTGGGACAACAGTCCCAGGAAAAGTGAACCTATGTCTTACTCATCTTCGTAACTCCAACATCTAGCACAATCCCTCACCCTTGGTTGGTGCCTTATAAATATTTGTTGAGTGATGAGTCACCACTAAATGTATTGTACTCGATGTTGCCAGGCAATGTACTAAGTGCTCTAAATATATTAATTCAACTAATCCTCTTTGCACCACCTAAAGGTATATACTATCGTTAGTAACAGTTTACAGAAAAAATGAAGACAGAGAGGTTAAGTAAGCCGCTCAAGTTCTTACTGCCAGGATGGAGTTGAGCGAGGATTTGAATCCAAGTAGTCTGGCTCCAAAGCCTCCACTCTTAGTCACTTGCAGTGCTTCTCAAACTACCTTGTGTGAACGTCACCTGGAAAATATGTCAAAATACTTCGTTCCAGAGCCCCACTTGCAGAGTTTTAAATTCAATAGTCCTATTAGTTTTCTATTGCTGTGTAACAAATTACCCCAAGATGAGAGGCTTATAACAACAAACATTTATCATCTCCAGTTTCTGTGAATCAGCAGTCTGGGCTCAGCTTAATCAGGTTCTCTGGCTTAGAGACTTTCAAAGGCTCCTCCAATCAGGGTGTCAGGAGCTGATGCTATTTCAAGGCTTGACTAGGGCAGATCCTGTTCTCTGCTCACTCATGTGGCTGTTGGTGGACCTTAAGTCATTACTGGCTGTTAACCTGAGATATTAGTTTCTCGCCCCAGGGCCCTCCCCCAAAAGGATGTTCAAAATATGGCAGCGGGCTTCCCTCACAGTGAGTGAGTGAGTGACAGAGAATATCCACGATCAACCCCATGTCTTTCTGTATCCTCATCTAGGAGCTGACATCTTTCTGCCAAGTCTTGGAGATTACCTCCTGCGGGAATACAGGGTGGGACCCAAGAATTTATATTTCTATCAAGTTCTCAAGTGATGAGGACAGTGATGCTGCCAGTAGAAGACCACACTGTAACACCACGCCTACAGCAGAAGGGAGGGAGGGATGGAAGGAAGAAGGAAGGGAGGAGGGAGGGAAGAAAAGGAAGAGGAAGAGGGAAACCCATGACACAATCCTTGACTGGATCACGTGTTGTATTTACACAGGGCCTTTCTCCACCCTGGCCCATTCTAACCACCACCAGTACACTCAAGGCTCCTGTCAAGAACTGTCAAGAAGGTAACTATGAGCCTAGAAAACCAGATGTCCACTCTGTCACTCCTTGGAAGAGCACGACTTCACCCCAGGTTGATACATCCTGTCTTCCATTTACCCTAAGTCTACCCTGGAGGCAATACAAAATAGTTCCCTGACGGCCCCTAACCCTGCCTAGTGACTTACAACCTCATGGAGCAAAAGCGGGGGGTTAATTTCAAGAGATTCTCTTTCCTGCCCCCTGCTTTTGAGGAGGAGGATTGAACTTCAAATGCTCTTCCTGCTGTGGTTAGACAGGACTCTCTGGTTGGTCTTCCCTCTGAGCATCATCTTCTCCTTCCCGACCACGGTGGTGCTGGACCCCCTGCTGCCTAGTGGGGGGGAGAGGCAGAGGCGGCTCTGGAAGGCTGGCTCCGGCTCTCTCTCTTGCTGGCAACTCCAGAAGCTTCGTGCGGCACGCTTCTCCTTCCCCGGCAGGAAGGAGGAGGGTTTGCTGGAGCTGAACAGCTGCTCAGGGTGCAGGGAGGCGAATGTTACTAAATATATGTTCTCGTTGTACATTGGTGTGTCAAGAAAAATTATATCTTCGTGTTCTCCACTTGGGTGTTCTTAAAAAAAAACAAAAACAACAAACTGCTTACACGAGCACAGTGTACCTCTTAACTCCTGCCCAACAACCTGACTGAGGAATTCAGTTGCTGTCTAATTTGTTTTTTCCCCCCACACCCTTCAAATGAAAGTCCCCTTGTCACTGGGAGCTTCTGGTACATTCTACTAGTCCCACTACACATGCCACTTGGCTCTTTGGGTCTCTTCTCCTTCCAGGCTTGTTTCCAAGCCTTTCTCAGGGTGGAATTCAGAGTAACATGCTTGAGATTGCCAGAGAAGAAGGATCTTTAAAATGTAAGCAAGTTATCAAGGTATTGGGCTTCCCTGTTGACTCAGATGGTAAAGAATCTGCTTGCAGTATGGGAGACTGGGGTTCAATCCCTCGGTGGGGAAGATGCCCTGGAGAAGGGAATGGCAGCCCACTCCAGTATTCTTGCCTGGAGAATCCCATGGACAGAGGAGCCTGGTGTGCTACAGTCCATGGGGTTACAAAGAGTCGGACACAACTGAGTGACTAACACTTTCACTTTCTCACTTATCATGGTATTAGTGCTGTCCTTTTTGTCTAAATCATAAATCAATTTCTAGAAAGCTACAAATGTATCATATGTACTACATAAATGTGTGTGTGTAGCATGTGTGTGTGTGCAGAAGTAGGGCCTTAAGTCAAATCATTAATATTAAGCTGTGTGTGGATGTGGTAGTCACTCGGTCGTGTCTGACTCTTTGTGAGTCCATGGACTACAGCCCACCAGGCTCCTCTGTCCATGGGATTCTCCAGGCCAGAATACTGGAGTGGGTTGCCATTTCCTCCTCCAGGGGATCTTCCCAACCCAGGGATTAAACCCAGGTCTCCTGCATTGCAAACAGATTCTTCATCGTCTGAACCACAAGGGAAGCAATATTATGTTGACTGAGCTGTTTTTATGAGGAAGTTCAGTTACTGATTTGAATGCAGCACTGAGATCCTCCCTTTAATTGGAAAGAAAGTGATGTGCACCAGTTGGTCTTATTAATCTAAGGTGGGAAATTGCTTTTAAATGCATGAGGCCCAGGCTCCTAAATATTCTCTTAGTCACCAATATGGAACTGACCTAGACTCACAAGTATTCCTATTATTCCCTTTATTCCCTTCAAACCAATCTTTACCTCTTCTTTCCTTCCTCACATTGAAAGCCGGAATTCTCCAACCTACCCAGCATGTAATTGTGTGCAATAAACTTTTGTTGAATGAATGGCTAATAGATAAACCCATATTCTCAAGAAAAGCTAATTAAAATAAAATGGAGTAGATATATGGTTTAAGCCAAGTCTTGCTTTAAGACCAACTAATTCACTGAAATTTGAAAATGGCTCACTTCAGCTTGCTAAAGCTGTGGAAGAGAACTGCATGGAATGAAAGGCTCCCTTTACTGAATCCCCTCTGTGTGAAGTTGATCATTTCATCTGGCCTCAAGCACTCCTGTGCATGTCTCTATAGTTATGCTGCTCCTATCTTATTTCATCTGTTGATTGAGACACTAGAAGTCTCAGAAGGACTGCTAACTTCGTCAGGACAAAGATGATCTATTTTTCACCTCTGTTTCCCACACACCTGGCACAGTAGCTGCCACACTTTAAGTCTGCATAAAATTCATGTGGAATGAATGAGGGGAGCAGTGGATGAATCCCGAGTTTAATGTAATTTTACCAAGAGGGTTGGGAAGATAAAATAAAAATTTTAGGTCAAAGGTTTGGAAACGAGTGCATTTTGAAAATCAATCAGCCTGGTAAATCATCTTTGAAATGATACAGGCCACTAGCAGGATGGGATTTTCTTTACGATAAGCTGACTTTCATTCACTTTTCAATGTTGCTTATAATCAGTTAGAGTCACACGTCTAGAATTGCTGTCTTATTTCTCTAAGCCCACTGAGTCTTATTCTCAATAGATTTACTACTGTCTAGGTCTCATTTTCAAGACTTCACCCAAGTATTCAATTCATTTGGCTCTAAGGAGTGGTCATTAACTGTCCCAGAATGAATGTCCCTACAGTAATGAAGTGGCCCCATGGCCAAGCAGCCAACATCAAGTTGTGCAACTCAGCCATCTTCTTGGGCCCTTCCCAAGTCTCCTGCAGGGGAAGGGCTTGGAGGCAAGCTGCTAAGACCCAAGGCTGTGGGCACCTGCGTGCCTCTTCTGGCTTCATGGCCAGTGTCATCAATAAACTGTTCCCCACTTTAAACCTTTTAAAATAAAGGTTTCCCTTGCTGGAGACATGATGAGATGAAATTTACTAAAAAAACCATGCTGCCAGAGAAAACCAGTTTTACCCTTTAAAAGCTGGAATGATTGCTTCTCTAAGGAACTCTGAAGTCTGAGAGTGATTCAGTGGCATTGATATTACTCGTGAAAGCAAAGGGAACCTTTTTTCTGCTTCCTCTTTCTCTTCCAACTACAGATATGTGTCCAGCCCCTCACAATGTGAGCACAATGTCATTGGCAGAAGGGATCTCGTTCTATGTATTTGTCTTTCTGCGGAGGCTACTCTAGGGACCTACATGCAAAGAGTAAATGATTTATCTTTTAAAGTTTCTAACTTTGTGGCTGAAATAATTATAAAGAGCAAATTTCTACAAAGATTAACAAAATATGATAAAATAGAGGGGGAGGGGTAATACTTTTTCTTTCTTTGGCTAGTTTCTTTTTAAATTTATTTACTTTTAATTGGAGGATAATTGCTTTACAATACTGTGCTGGTTTCTGCTATACGTCAACAAGAATCAGCCACAGGTATACATATGTCGCCTCCCTCTTAAACCTCCCTCCAACCTCCCACCCCATCCCACCCCTCTAGGTCGTCACAGAGCACCAGTTTGAGTTCCCTGCATCACACAACCAGTTCCCACGGGCTATCTATTTTACATACGGTAATGTGTATGTTTCCACGCTACTCTCTCTATTTGTCCCTCTCTTTACACCCCTGTGTCCACAAGTTTGTTCCTTGGCTAATTTCTGACATAAGAAACAGCACAGGCAAACTCAAAAGTGCTTCAAATAAAACATCTTACCCTTAGCTTTTCACTGAAGTGGTGGCCTAGAAATTGGCTTTGGTTGGTGACACAGGTTAGCAGCTTCAATAAGAATCTAGGGGCCAGAAAGAGAAAAGCAACCAATCACAACGCAAAGGAAACCCCACCAGTGTTTCAGCTGATTTTTCAGCAGAAACTTTACAGGCCAGAGGGAGTGGAAGGATATTTTTAAAGTATTAAAAGGGAAAAACCTTACAACCTAAAGTCCTCTATCAGGCAAGGTCACCATTCAGAATTGAAAGACAGATCAAGAGTTTCCCAGAAACAGAAAAACTAAAGGAGTTCAACACCACTAAACTGGCCCTGCAAGAAATGCTAGAGAGTCTTCTTTTAGTAGAATAAAAAGGCCATAACTAAATAAGACAATATATAAAAGGAAAAATCATGCTGGTAAAGGCATATAGCAAAAGTAATGGATCAGCTTCTTAAAAACGTACAATGAAGGTTAAAAGACAAAAGTAGTATAGTCAACTATAATTACAGTGTGAAATTAAGGGGTACACAAAATATAAAATATCATATTAAAAATATGAAACATTGGGAGGAAGAGTAAAAATATAGTGCTTTTAAAATGTCTTCAAACTCCAGCAACTACTAGCTTAAAACTGAAGACTATACATACAGGTTGCCACAGAAGAACCTCATGGCAACCACAAACCAAAAACTTAGAATGGATACATAAAAGATAAAGGCCTTCCTCCATGGCTCAGTGGTACAGGATCTGCCTGCTGATGCAGGAGATGCAGGTTTGATCCCTGGGTCAGGAAGATCTCCTGGAGGAGGAAATGGTGACTCATTTTTCAGTATTTTTACCTGGGAAATCCCATGGACAGAGAAGCCTGGAGGGCTACATCCCATGGGGTCATAAAGAGTTGGACACAACTGAGCACACACACACACAAAGAAAAAACAATCCCACTAGCATCCTCAGTCCATAGGATTCTCGAGGCAAGAATACTGGAGTGGGTTGCCATTCTCTTCTCCAGGGGATCTTCCCAACCCAGGGATCCAACCCTCATCTCTTCTGTCTCCTGCAACTGGCAGGCAGGTTCTTTACCACTAGTGCTACCTGGGAAGCCCAGTAATACTAAAGGAGTCCATCAAACCACAAGCAAAGAAACCAAGAGAAGACAGTACATGTGTGTGTGACTATATAGTCACACACACATAAAATGAAATGTTACTCAGTCATAAAAATAATGAAATCTTGCTGTTTGCAGTAATGTTGATGGAACTGGAGGGTATCATGCCAAGTGAAAAATGTCAGAGCAAAGTAAATAAATGTGATTTCACTTACACATGGAATACATAAAACAAACAAAACATAACAAAAATAGACTCGCAGATACAGAGAACAAACTGGTAGTTGCCACAGGGGAGGGAGGTAGGGGGCAGATGACAGAGGTGAAGGAGCTTAAGAGGTGTGGACTTACAGTTAATGAAAATAAATAAGTTGTGGGGATATAACATACACATGTGGAATACAACCTGTATTGTGGTGACTATTTCATAACATATAAAAATATTGAATCACTATGTTGTGTACCTGAAAGTATTATAATACTGTATGTTGATTATAATTCAATTTAAAAAAAGAACTCAGGGTTCCCATTTTTCTATCTTTAATGTGTCAGTAAAGTCAGCAATAATATTATAATACGGCTACACCTGGTGGTTCAGATGATAAAGAATCTGCCTGCAGTGCATGAGACCCAGGTTCAATCCCTGGGTCGGGAAGATCCCATAGAGAAGAGAATGACTACCCTCTCCAGTATTCTTGCCTAGAGAATCCCATGGACAGAGGAACATGGCGGGCTACAGTCCATGGGGTCGCAAAGAGTTGGACACGACTAATTAACTAACTAACACATGGCTACACCAGCTCTAGGCATTTTGTCCTCAATAACCCAACCAAAAGCAGGAAGAA